TGATGTGTATTTAAAATCTGTGTGAACTCTTTAAAAGTGTCTTCCACATGCACCCACTCGCCATAGTTCCTGGTGGAGAACAGCTGCTCTAGTGTGTTTTGCTCCCTGTAGTCGTATGAATGGCAAACTACACTCGCTGGCAGCAGCATGGGCACACTGAAGCTTTCTTCTGACATTTTCGCTCTCTAGTGTCATCACCATAGTCAGAATAAATAGCATTGGAGATAACGGGCACCCCTGATGAGTGATCAATAGTTAGACGTCTGTCTAATTCCTGCTTTGTGTCTTCTGTTCATGTCGGGAACTGAAGTTCAGATGGATCGACTGATACTTTCCTCTCACTCTGCATTTCCTTCATTCTCCAAGAGTTTTCTCGCTTTCCCTCCTTGGTCATACTAACACTGCCACATTAGGCTTTTTGCTGATGCATCAGAAGAGAATTTATTATATTCAGTTCTCAAACGTAACAATTCACTTTGATGAGCTCGATGTTAAGTTGTTTTGTGGAGCAGAAAACAAACTCCCGATCTTGGAGGTTCAGGAATCAGATAAGCACACCTGTGTTGGTTTGGCTTTCGAGGTGTTAGGGTGCAACTGCTGATCCTCGGCGCCGTCCCAGAGACCACACAGACGCAGCTTCTTGCTTCGGACGTGGTTCTCCAGGTCGTCAGTCTGATTTTCAGCCTCCTCATCACAGAAACACATGAACATTAGACCGGAGCATTCGGGGAGTGAAAGCAGTATTTCAGCCTTTAAGCTGAACTAACGTTTTACCCTCCTCTTCATCGTCTCGTCTCCCTGCTGTCAGAGACACGACACCCAAATGAACCTCTAAGAGATGATGTCATCAGTGACCAATCAAGAACGAGAATAGATGACAGACACGTGCTACAATAAGTCGTAGTTTCCCTGTCACCGTATTTTAGGAGTGTGAAGCTATAACGTTATTTTAAAAACTAAGCCGAGCCTGAGAGTCGTGGTTGTGGTGAAGCAGAGAGTTCTGACGGCCCGGACTCGCCCCCCAGGTGGAGCTCTGCACAGCCTGAGCCAGCTCACACACTCAGCTACACCTCTTAGTTTACATCAGCGTGTTGATGTTTGACTCCATCCACCAACACGAACCTGATGTAGTTTACTCTCATTTTGAGTAGATCAGCTGACTCTCAGATCACAGCACGGGAGATGTACGTCATTAGCCTGCACGATCGACACAGATGACAAGAGATGAATCCTGACCGATCCTGGCACCTGTCAAGAACAGGAAGGTGGACACAGAACGTATTCCAGGAAAAGCTGGCAAATGATTGTTTGGTGTTGAGTGTTGGAGACAGTATCTGTGTGCAGAGTGATGCTGAGCAGCATCAGGACATTCACAGTGCTGACAGTGAAGTAGCTGCTCGCCCTGAAGTAGACGATGAGCAGCAAAGTTTGCAGCCAGCTGAGGAACAACATCTAAATAATCTGCAGCCTGTGATCTGAGCACAGCACATAATGATCGTGCGTCACAAAGCTTTGCTGAACAAAAGTGTCGTCACTTTTGTTTTCTTGCAGATTATCATCGTACACGTGAGCTCTGCTGATCTCTCCACCTTCTTCTACTTCTTGACACCTTTAAGTGACATCATCCAGGTGTGTTTGTGCCGATGCCCTGCCTTGCAGGTGTGTGTGTGTGTGTGTGTGTGTGCGTGTGTGTGTGTGTGTGGTGTGTCGTGTGTGTGTGTTGCAGGTATACCCTGGAAAGGAGGTGCCAATGAATGTTTCAGGCTCTGTGATGAAACATTTCTAATCAGGACGAGACACAGAAAACCATTTTAAAAGCAACATGATGAATGTTTCAGGCTGCTGTGATGAACTTTCTAATCAGGCCGAGACACAGAAACCATTTTAAAAGACAAATAAAGCTTGTTTTATTTTGAAAATCATCAGAGGGGAAACTGATGACGATAAACATTATTGTGAAGAGTCTATAAATACTGATGATTGATTGGAGCTGTCTCCAGCTGTTTGTAGATTGTTTTCCCTTCAGCTGCCTGGATACTGATGACATCAGGAGAAGAATATCAATAAAAAAGCAAGAGAAGGCTTGTGACCTCTGTGATTGGCTACTCTGAGTTAGTGCTCAGCTGCTGCTACACTTTCAGTCGGTTCACTCACACACACACACTCACACACACAGTTTAACGGTCAGAGAGCTGCTGATGAAGATGAAGGAGCTGCTCCTCTTCCTCTCCTGTGTCCTCTGTGTCTCTGCCGATGGTGAGTTTGTCTCAGTAAACTCTGGCAGGCCGGCAGCAGCTTATTGATCGGTGTTTCATTTCAGGCCTGCACGGAGACGTTCATATAAACGGGTGTTCAGACTTCGATGCAGAGGACATGTATGGACTGGATGGGGAGGAGGTTGCCTACGCAGACTTTAACAACCACACGGAAGTCTACATGCTGCCTCCTTTTGCCGATCCTATGGCTTACCCCGGAGCGTATAAACAAGCTGTGACTGAGCTGAAGGTCTGCAGACACAACCTGAAGGCTCTTGGCGCGGTGATGAAGGACTACCCTTCCAATAACCGTAAATACAAACATTTAACGTGTGTCTCACCTCACCTGTGTTTACCTGAATGATCAGTCCGATCAAACACAGCCAGTGAAGCAAACTGATTAAAGATATGAAATCATTCCACCGTAAACACATTTAGAAACTGACATGTTTCTATTTGTGTTTCTATTAAAGACCACATTTATTTTTCTTCATGTCCGCTCTGATGGGACAGCCAGCTGAAGCTCTGATCCTCTGCCTGATGTGTTTGTGCACAGATGTTCCTTCAGCTGTGATGATCTACACCAGAGATGAGGTGGAGTTTGGAGAGGAGAACACTCTGATCTGTCACGTGACTGGTTTCTATCCTGCTCCTGTCAACGTCTCCTGGACCAAGAACAGACAGAAGGTCACAGGATCCAGCATCAACGTTCCCTATCCCAACAAAGATGGGACCTTCACCCAGATCTCCAGACTGCAGTTCACCCCACAGCTGGGAGACATCTACAGCTGTGCAGTGCAACATCTGGCCCTGACAGAACCACTGACCAAGATCTATGGTGAGAAAACTTTATTTAAACAAAAGACTGAGGCCAGTGTTCATCAGAGCAGCTGGATCTGATCTGATAGTTTGACACCATGATTTTTGTCACACATTTTGGAGCCAATATGATCATCGTATCCCACCAACGATGGGAACAGAGTTTAACACACTGAATCATATGAACAGTAAGTAAGAACATACAGAGAACAGCAAGACGACACAGAGCAAAGCAAACTGTGGGCTGTAGAGCCTTAAGTACAGACAGCAGAGCAACACAGAGACAGACAGAGCAGACGTCTCTGTGGCTTCTCTTTATAGGGGCCAGTAACTCCACCTCCTACTGCTGCTGCAGGGTAACTTTCCACTCGTCCTCCAGCCAAAAACAGCTGGTGCTGGGTCAGGGGCTGGTCAGGGGCTGGTCAGGGCTCTGGATCAGGGTTATCTGCAGCTGGGTGCCCTTTGATGAACTCTTTGCTTTGCCTTATCACAATAGGTCACGACACAGTCAAACGCCACATATTAATCCTAGTTGTTAAATCTCGCAACAAGCAGAATGCATCAACAGGTGCTCTGACAGCAAGCGGCATAATCTTATGATAAACATGTTAATAATAGTTGACCTAATTATACAGGTTATATAGTATTGTAATGATCGTTAAGGTGACTTTACTGTGATGTGTTCAGTATCTGTTACAATGTTACCACCTTAATAACCCACGGTGAGGGCAAAACTACTTGAAAGTTACAGTATATATGTTCACTGCACATAGATATATAGTGCATATAGTTATATAGGTATACTTTCCCAACATTCCCCTGGTCAACCAATTTAAGACAAATGAATTCCTGTTCATGTGCAAAGCAGACGACACAACATCCCTGAAAGAATTCTCAAGAAACTTAAAACGAGCCTAATTATAGGAAAATGAAAATAAGGCATGAAACATACCAGTACTTCGAACAAATCTCAGTGTGAGAGTGTGGGCTGTGAAATTCCTTTGATAGCTTCAGGGTTATTTCTGGAGTTCCACAGGGCTCAGTGCTAGGACCAGTTCTGTTTACATTACACATGCCTCCTTTAGGTAACACCACAATAGGCACAACATACCTCCGTCATGCAGATGACACCCTCCTCCATGTATCCAACACACACCAGTCAACCTGCAGGAATGCCTCCAGAAACCAAAGACCTGGATGACCTCGAAACATTTTGCTCCTACATTTAGATAAGACTGAGTTTACTGTCCTAAAAATCCTTACACATATATGGTATCTAACCAGATACTTAGTCTGGATCTTTAACCAGGATCTGTCCTTCAATGCACATATTAAAATATGAAGACTGCTTCTCCCATTTTTGCAATTCATCTCTAAAATTAGAAATATCCTGTCTCACACGTGACTGAAACATAGTTCATGCATTTTTACTTCCAGGCTGGACGACTGTCATTCTTTATTATCAGGATGTCCTAAAAACTCCCTGAAAAGCCTTCAGCATGAATACTGACAGGGACTAGATGACACAGTATATCTCTGTCATCCGGTCGGGGGCAGGGATAGCTCAGTGGGTAGTGTGGACGCCCCCACTGAACGGCTACCCTGAGGCACTCCTGAGGGTCCCTGCACACTGCTCCCCGGGCACCTGATTTTTCTGCTGCCCACTGTTACACTGAGTTACATGCAGAGAGAGTAATTTCCCCACGGAGATCAATAAAGCATACGTTATTAGCATGACAGCCTTTGTTCTTACGGTAAAGGAGCCATTGAAAAGCTAAAGCAGCTGTAATAGACTAATCATACACATTTACACAGACATGCATGAATTTCAGTTTACAATCATACAAAGTTCCCTAATTGGACCTTGTTACATATTTGGGTGGTTGACTCTGAGGCAGACAGTTTACCCTGTAGATTGAACTAAGACCTTACAAACGTAAGAAGCACAATGACAACATTCAACAATTACACTTAACAACCCCATTTCCCTTAATTTGAAATAATACATGTAACTGAAATCCTTCTGGTTTGCACCGTAATATCAGCACAGACAGGAGCTCTGAGTCAGCAACACTTTAAATGAGACAGTGAGAGTGAGGAGGTCCGACAGATGTTTGAGGATGCAGCTGATGGCAACATCAATGAACTCTGTCATTATATATTGGAAAATGCATGGACGATATCATCACTAAAACCACCGTCTGCAAATATCCAAAGCAGAAACCCTGGTAGATGAGAGACATTCGCGCTCAAGCTAAAAGTGTGGACCTCTGCCTTTAACTCCAGGGGATCTGATGCATATGAAAGCAGCCAGGTACGACCTCCAAAGTTAAAAAGGGGCCAGAAAGGACTACAGGGACAAATGGAGTCCAGCTACCACAGCTTTGACCCAGGCGCTGATGAATGGACTACGCTGCATCACTGACTACGAGAAGGAACAACACGTCAGTGTCAGCCCACTGCATCTCTCGCAGACGAGCTCAACAACTTCTAGCTCGTTTTGTTACGCAGACAACAGAGAGCCGTCCTGTACCCTCAGGAGCGACAGTGAGGCTGCAACTACTCTGAAAACAGAAGCTGTGAGATGGTACTTTCAAAAAGGTCAATCTTCACAAAGCTCTGCAGGACCGGACGGCATCCAGGCCGGTTACTCAGAGGTGTGCCAGACGAGCTGGCAGGAGGTGTTCACCAACATCTTCAACCCTCCCTGAGGCAGTCAGGTGGTCCCCACTCCCTCAAAGCACCACCATCATCCCCGTTCCTCAAAAATCAGATGGTCTCCTGTCTGAAATGCTACCGCCCTGTTGCACTGACATCCGTCATCATCAAGTGCCTTGAGTGGCTGGTCAAAGGTCACCTCTGCTCCTCCCTCCATGTTACATATCTGCAAAGTTTGGCATGAACGCCAACATCCCTCTAAATTTCTACAAGTCAAGACTCGAGAGCTTGCTGACGAGCTGCATCACAGTTTGGATACAGAAGCTGCTCTGCCAGCAGCAGGAAGGCACAGAGCATCACTGGCACGAGGCTTCCTGCCATTCAGGACTTTATCCCCAGCGTGCCTCGAAAGCACACAGCATCATCAAGGACCACAGCCACCCAGCACATCAGATGTTCTCCTTGTTACCATCTGGCAGACGTTACTAGACCTTCAATAATATTCTAATGTAAGAGTGTTAATAATGAATATGTCTTTATGATCTCCTGTTAATGCTCACATGTGGCCTAATTCCTGTTATTTGTTCTTTTAGGATTATGAGTGAACTTTATTGTCATTGTTGTCATACCATATTCGCTTCCGCTTATCCTTTTCAGGGTCGCGGGGGGCGCTGGAGCCTATCCCAGCTGTCATAGGGCGAGAGGCAGGGGTACACCCTGGACAGGTCGCCAGTCTGTCGCAGGGCTCAACACACAGGGACAGACAACCATTCACACTCACATTCACACCTAGTGGCAATTTGGATTATCCAATTAACCTATCCCCACAAGTTGCATGTCTTTGGACGGTGGGAGGAAGCCGGAGTACCCGGAGAGGAACCCACGAAAACATAATACGGAGATAATGCAAATACAGTAACAGGGCTGGAGCTCTGGGCTTTAATCTTGGAGTTTGTTGGGAGGGATCACTGATGCAGCTGCTTCATGTGGATCCACTGCAGATATGATGGATAGTTAGGTGATAGTTGTTCCCCTCCTACGCCTGCCGACCCTTAGTCGTCGTCCTCCGCCTGACTCCTCCACTCCACCTTTGTGCAGGCCCCATCGCTGACCCCGGCCTGCGTACTGCCGGTGTTGCTCCTCCACAGGCTCTGGCCTGCTGATCTGTGTTGTACCCTTCAGTTGGTGAGCTCCTTCATCTGTGAGCAGTTATCTGTTTTCCTTCATGTCAGGAGAGTCGTTATTGCCAGTGTGTGCAAACATCAGTTAAGTAACTGTTTTCTCTTCCTGTGAGCTCCACCTCTTCTTACTCTCTCTTTCTTTAACTTCCTTTTCCTCTTGCTTACATGTTTCCTCTTCCACAAACTGGTCTAATCACACTCTCCAGTGTGTGTGTGACTTCCTGCATCTCTTACTTTCTCATTCTCAGTTCATTCCTTAAACATATAAAGTGCAATTTGCTTCTTTTGTTGAGCAGTAAAAATCCCTCTGATGTTGTGGGACTCTCAAAAACTTAATTCCTGGTTCAAGCCTGACACTCTGTCAGTGTTTCATGCTCCTCTGATGCTCTTTGAAATGTTGTTTCTATTTTAGCTATAGAAGAAGGATTGCACGCAGTCTGACCAGCATCAAGGCAAGTGTTTCAGTTACCACTGATCTCTTTATGATCGTCTCCCACACAACACCTAACTGTGCTCTTTACTGTCCCTCCTAAGACCCTCCTCTCTCTCTCTTTCATGGCATTGTCTAATCTCTCTTTGCTGTTTGGGCTGATTGGGACCTGATGAGTGTAGAAACAAAGAATACCTGATCTTTTTAAACCTGATTTTTGTTTCTGAGAAAAATGAGATCCACATATGAGGACATTTGTTTTAAAGGCTGATCGAACAGTGACAGTTTAATGTCTATAATGGTCCAGACAACCTAAGATGTGATGTCACATATGTGGAGGTTAATCAGCTATTGTAGTGATTCAAATAACTTGATCAGTTCTGCATCACACAGCTGTTATTCCTGTTTTTCTTTTCCCAGACAGATATTTCTGTTCTTTGAATTTAAATGGTTCTTTTCCTCTAAAATGCTCAAGTGTAGCTACTTTGCCTTCATTCCTACTTGTTTGGGAAGAGCTGTGATCCAGCTGTTTGAGTGTATTTTAATTTCTTATATTATATTTGGAGATGTGTTGTTTCCATTGCCCTGATCACCTCCTGTGTGTATTTAGTGTGTGTTTCATTCACTCTTTGTCAGGTCGTCTGTGTATTTCCCCTCCATGTCATGTCACAGTGCTCATAATCACCATAGTTTTTCATAGTTACCTCATTCTTGGGGCTCTTCAGGTTGTTTTGTTGCTTTAACTAATTTATTATTAACACCCATATAAGATTATGCTTAAAATGAACGACTAATGTAAAAATTGTGTTTTTTCTTTATATATGTTTGTTATGTAAATGTGCTTTTATTTCTTCACTCCACATAAAATGTAAAAAATAGTTGTTTATTGTCTGTTTACAATTCAAATTTTAACTATTTACATTTTTTGTTTCTTTGGGTCTGGGTTGGTTCGGGTGGATGTGGTGGTGTACTGCATGCTGCTGTAGATGCAGCAGCAGCAACAGTTGCAGACACACTGGCACCTTCATTAATATCACACTCAACTGACTGTGTTTCATCTTCCCATTGCACTGATGGGTGGGCAGCTGTCAGGAGCCTGTGCAGGTTGTGGGGCGGCTCCATGTGATATCCTCTACACTCTGGCTTTGTGTTGTCAACAACATTAAAATGCTTCCAGATTTGGCTTTTCTTGGTGTCACTTAATGACCCAGGTGTTTAAAACATGTTCAAGAGTCTGCGTGAAAGTTACAGTGCACATGCTCAGTGCAGGTAGATGTAGATGTATATACAGTTAATGTTCATGTTCTCTGTGTTTGTGTCTCCAGAGGTGGAGGCGTCCGCTCGCTCTGATCCAGGTGTTGGACCCTCTGTGTTCTGTGGAGTGGGTCTGACTCTCGGTCTGGTCGGTGTGGCTGCTGGAACCTTCTTCCTCGTCAAAGGAAACGAGTGCAGCTGATTGGCTCACGGTGACTGATGTCATCATGTTTACAGAGCTCTAATCAGTGTAGTGTCTGTAGGCTTGTGTGTGCAGAGTTCCCTGTAATGAGATAGACTTTGTTCTGGTTCTACCTGCCTCAGCTACTGCTTAATAATGGAACATCTGTATGAGCTGTGCCGTCAGCCCTGTGTCAATAAAGTTTAACTCTGGAATTCAAAGCAAAGCTATTTTCAGCTGCTCTCGCACCACCAGCAGATTTTACCTGGACTCTGTTCCTGCCACAAAAGTGATGAGACTGAGATCAGTTTGATGTGACCTCAGTGTTCATAAACAGCTATGATGTGTCTTTGTTTACCAATCCGTGTTTCAGATTTTCATATATCAATAAAGTTTAATGACAGATTCTGTGTGTGTGTGTGTATGGTGTGTGTGTGTGTGTGTGTGTGTGTGTGTGTGTGTGTGTGTGTGTGTGTGGTGTGTGTGTGTGTGTGGAGTCAGACTTTGAGCTCTAACAGAATGAACGTTAATGATGTCTGAATTTGTCTTTGCAAACACAAAGATGTCAAACTAAATCCTGATGAAGACTCTGCTGATGAAAGCAGGTGAAAGAAAAATCAGTGAGTGTTTATAGAAATGAATCTAACATGTTTATATTCCAGATGTTTTAATATCTGGCATTTAAATTTACTCTGAATATGGATAAAATCTCATTCTGATTTAATTCAGTTTAATTTCTACAGCACAAAATCACAACAACAGTCAGCTGAAGCAGCTTCATATTGTGATGCAAATACTCTTCCATGACGCAACATTAATACGAGCTGAGGTTCATCTGCTGCAGTCTGACTGGTTTATAAATGTGAATCTGAATTTCTCTGCTTGAATATTTAAATGCAGATTGAAGGTAATGTTAATGTAACAGTGAAATGTGATCCAGCTGCTCTGAAGAGCTCGCCATGATGACATCACACTGTGGCGTCCACGCAGGAACATCAGCCACACACGAGTGCCACACACCCACAGAGCTGACTGTAAATCTGATCACTGTTACAGGTTCATTGTTACAGCAGGTCTGACTTCAGTGTTGGGTGCAGATAACTATTATACATGAATATGTCTCCATGACTGCAGACTGCGACTGAAACGTAAATGAAAGCAGGTTTTCAGTTTGCTCCGCTTTCAGAGCTTTAACGGACAGAAACACACGTGGGGGTGAACTATGAGCTGATCCCACAGTAACAGATGACGCTGTGGTCATGTGACCTGACTTCCTGTTTCTCGAGCAGCTCTCCGTCAGACTGAGTCAGTTTGTCTGGAGAACTTAGAAACATGGCTTCATCCTTCCTCTGCCTCCTCTTCATCAGCCTCAGCACAGCAGGTACCATCAACACGCTGACCAGTGATCACTAATACACTGATCGGTGACATGATTCGCCCTCGGTCTGATGTTCTGTTTGTTCTCAGATGGATTCATGACTTACAGACTGTCTCGCTGTGACTTTAACTCCACTGAGCTGAAGGACATCCGGTTCACCGACTCTTACTATTACAACATGATAGAGATCATCAGGTTTGACAGCAATGTGGGGACGTTTGTTGGATTCACTGACTTTGGAGTGAAGACCGCAGAGGCCTGGAACAATATTCTAATATGTGTTCGATACCACAACCTTATGTCTAAATCAGGTGAGCGTGCGTGGTCTGTGTGACATCATCAGGTGTTCCTGCTGACCTCACTCTGAATCATTTATGATGGACTCACAGCTGCAGCTAATTTTGATGATTAATAACTTTAATAAATCATCGATCACCGAACATAAGACGCCAGAGAACGACTCTGACCTGCGGCGCCCCCTGCTGGTGACACAGGCAAACTGCAGCTGTTCCTCATAACACACTGATTGTGATATTATTTTTTTAAACTCTTTGAGCTGAAAAATCCTCCACAATTGTTTTTAATATTTCCATATACATATTTTAACAGCACGGAGCAGCCTGACAGGTTAATTATTTCCTTCTTTTCTTCTTATTCATTTATTTTACATATGACAAATATGAAGCACTGATGTCTGCAGTTCATTTATTGGCTGTGACCTTCACAGCTTGTTTAGCAGCTTCACACCTGCAAACATTTACAGCTCAGATCTATGACTCAGTGTAACAGTGACTGCTGTTATTTAATCTGTGTGTGTTTCACTCTCTCAGCATCTCTGCAGTAAAGTGAGCTAAAGTGCTGAAACAGCTGCTGTGCTGACCTGACTGATCAGTGAAACGTAAACACACACAAGCTGTGACTGTGTAACATCAGAAACAGAGAGTGCAGGGGAAGCTGTCTGATAGTGCCAAGTCATCCTGTGTGTTCTGCTGTTGGGTTATAGATGGTTCGATCTACGAGTGCACCTAAACACAGCATGGATGTTGAACCACACGAGCAGGCTGTTTACAGCAGTAACTTCCTCTCCAGAGTGAGACGGTGCAACCTCAGAGAAAGAAACGTGTGAGAAGTTTCCTCCATCAGGCCGCAGCTCTTATCTGTGTGACTGGTTACAAATATGATAAAAGAAACAGGCAAAGCGCCCCCTGCAGGCCCCGGATGGTACAGTCTGATCAAAGTGCCTTCCATCGGGGCCTCGATCACAAGCTCCTCCACCGTTGTTTGCAGCCCACAGATTTACACCATCAGCTCTTCCAGTTCAGGTCCTGTCGCCTAGCAACCACCACCTAGAATGATAATGTAAAACGTTCATTAATCAGAAGCTTCAGAGTTTTGACTTTAATTTGTTAAAATTTTTAAATCGAAACATATTGTAAATCAAATAAACGTATCTATCAAATATATT